CAACAGTGGCATGAACCAACACCTTAGCCGCATCCGGGGTTAAGTAGGGGCTATATTTTTAAAGATGGAAGTGACAGGAAATGGCCATCGACTGGATATGAGGGGTGAGGGAGAGGTCGGAGCCAAAGAGAACACCTAGCAATTCTTAAGGGAGTGAGTTTAAATAGGCTGACAGTGTGACCTTCAAAATAAGGAAAAGATAGGGCAGGGACGATTGGTTGAAAGGTGTATTGAGGGGAGAGAAGGATGCCTACACCGCCTCCTTCTGTACAAATTCATATTATTTATACTAAAGCACTATTTAAGAATAATAAAGTCTTCAATAAAACTATAAAACAAGAGTGTGTGTTTCAGAAACATTGTCATTCATCTCTGCTCCTTTTTCAGGTGGAACAGATCTCACCTCCATTGTTGCATGGTTTAGTCTTGAATGCGTTACCAAAAGACAGATTTTACATACCAAGCCCTGTATGTAGCTGAGGAATGGATGGGAAAAGGTATTCTAGGAGGTCACAGCTTCTTCCTTTATGGCCATTAGTAAAAGAGGAGATGCGGGTTGCACAGCATTCAAAATGCTAAACAGCTTTCTTGACTACCATTTATTTATATCTAGTTACTTAGCTGCATACCACTAGCCCTAGTAAGATCTACCATAGTTTAGGCTTGGTCCCTTCATTAATTGGTTGTTAAATACCACATATTTACAGAATGATTTGCCTAGTACATCTAGAAGGGTTAAAAAAAAATTGCAGCTACAATGAAACACCTAATGTACATAGAGCCTCTCCCATTGTCTGTGTTTCTTAGTCCTTTGAGAGTTTCATTAAGAAACTTGGATCAACGTTTGCAAAAAAAAGTTTTTCAGCTGAATATAGCACTTTATCTGCTTAGTGGAGAGAATTTCATAGCACAGAATACATTAATACAATTATAAAGATAGCAAGATTAATGGATTGAACAGTATCAAAGGTTTAACCTGGAGTTAGTTTTATTCACATGCACACAAGACGCACAGACATATATCCGCATCAGTCGTTGCTTGGAATGAAGGCTAGCTGTGATCCCTGTACAATGGTTCAGTGTAAGAAATTGCTCTGATATTATCAAGTTAAAGAGACACTATAGGCACCTAGACAACTTCAGCTCATTGAAGTAGTCTGGGTGCAGTGCCCCTGTCAGTTTAACCCTGCAATTGTAATTATTGCAATTATTGAGAAACTGCAATAATTACCTTGCAGGGTTAACTCCACGTCGAGTGGCTGTCTACCAGACAGCCACTAGAGGCACTTCCGGGTCATGTCGTCACACTCTGCAAGAGGACATCCAGCATCAGCTACAACCCCATAGGAAAGCATTGATTTAATGCTTTCTTATGGGGTAGTCCTAATGCCACGCATTCGCCTTAAGTCCCTGATGCCAGCTGACATCAGCAAAGGAGTGGAGGCAGAGCCTGACATTGGCGCTGGAGTCAAGTAAGTTAAGTGACATAAGGGGCTCTTTTGGGAAATTCTGAAGTAAAACTCCACTAATTCTATCAGATAGTCTCACAGAGTACTGTGCAGTGTTTTTCCACATATGTACGCTAGCCTCGCAATGCTTTCCAATGGGATTGGCTGAGATCATCGATCTTGATGATCTCAGCCAAAGAGGCAGACCTACACTCTGGAGACTGGTTCAGTGGGGGGGAAAAGTTAAGTTACTTCCCTTTTAAATCCTGGCAGCAGAGGCCCGGTCACCTTTAAGGTGACTAGGACATTATAGCACTAGGAATACATATTTGCATTTTTAATGCTATAGTGTTCTTTTTGTGTTTTTTTTAAATGATGTATAATTGTTTGCTGAGAGAATCTTACTTTTTTTTTAACCTAACGGAGCAGCCATGTTGGTTCAGACTCTACAGTTATCTGACCAACTGCTGCCCAACCAAACTTGCCTAATGCTGCAATTGCTCTGTGTAAAGCAGCATCAGGCAAATTAGGTTGGAGTACAATTGGCACAATATCTTATATAAATATAATTTAAACTCACATCCAGAGTTATTCACTAAACCAGCGGTTCCCAACCCAGTCCTCAAGTACTCACCCCTACCAGTCCAGAATTTAGGGATTACCCTGTTGTGTCTAATCTGTTGTTTTGTTTTTTTCTTTCTAAAAACAGCTTCTTAGACACAACTAGGTAATCCCTAAATCCTGGATTGTTAGAGGTGCCTTGAGGACTGGGTTGGGAACCACTGCCTTAGACACAGATAGGTAATCCCTAAATCCTGGACTGTTAGAGGTGCCTTGAGGACTGGGTTGGGAACCACTGCTTTATACACAACTAGGTAATCCCTAAATCCTGGACTGTTAGAGGTGCCTTGAGGACTGGGTTGGGAACCACTGCTTTATACACAACTAGGTAATCCCTAAATCCTGGACTGTTAGGGGTGCCTTGAGGACTGGGATGGGAAGGTCTGCACTAAACCATGAACTGATAGAAGTAGCTATAAGTGACTGGTAGAGAGGTAGATTCAGCATTAAAGTGCCCCCACCCTCAGGGTTCTCTGAAACTGCTATGTTTATAAAAGAATGGGTTAATCCTAGCTGGACCTGGCACCCAAACCACTTCATTAAGCTGAAGTGGTCTGGGTGCCTAGAGTGGTCCTTTAATGTCTTTCAGCTGGTTCAGACAAATCAAACCTATTTCAATCTACACCCCAACAAATCCATCTATCCCAGATTTATCTATGGAGTCCTATCCATTGAATAAGTCTAGTGACTGTGATCTCTCTCTTATTTACAGTTTAGTAAGTATGGGTTTATTCACTAAACTCCTAATGAAATTTGAACGGCAAGATTGAGACTAAGCTGTGACTATTCAGTAGATGTTGAAGAATAATTCCAGATTTGAACTTTTAGCTTAAATGTTGCCATTCTGATTTCAATTCCATGCAATTCAGAGTTCAGTGAATGAGCACATTTATGCTTAGGCTCAGACAGTTTTCTATTTAGGAGAATATTGCAGTCACAAATTCCGAGGAAGGTGATGGTAGGGCCAATGCTGCCATACAGTGGTTATTTGGGGGATATATTTGGGAAAACTGAATGCTAGGTTATAATACGTTCAGTAGTACAGTATTTTGGATATATTCACTAACCTGAGAGTTTTTCAGAATAGGAAATTTAAGTCTGGAAAAAACTGAACTGCAAAATTTAGGCTAAACTGGTTAATTTGGGAAAAACCTCAATTTCGTCTTTCAGATTCCAAGTTAGTGAATAAACACAACGTGTGAATTGCCAGGAATTCAAAGTGATTTTTTTTTTATGGCAAAATAACTGAAATGAAAACAGCGGGTTTGGACACTTTCACAAATTGGCTATGTTGGCCCTAAAATTTGAAAAACAAATTGAGTTGCTGGCCGTTCATTGAAGCATCAATGTTCCTAATTTAGGTCAAGATTTATTAGTTCTAGATAAGCCTTTTAAGTTATATAATATTTTCAGATAAACATTTAAACTAATTTGATTTGTATATATATTATATATATATATATATATATATATATATATATATATATATATATATAGATAGATAGATAGATAGAAATGCAATTTTTTATATTTTAATATTTTGAAAAAATCTTTTGAAAATCTTATCTAAAAATATTAAAATTGAGACCTTAATCAGAGAAATGAAATTAAATAAGAAAATAACTCCAGGGCTGTGCCATATCCCTTGACAATGTATTGTTTATAACTGTTCCTAATCACATGTGACAAGCTAACTCTGTTTACACTAGGTTCGCTTTTCTGTAGGTGACGTGTCATCTCTTTATGTGGTTTTTTATTGAATTTACTACGTTTGGGAATCACAAATGGATGGATCTAATTTTATAATTAAATAAGATGAAAAGATTTCCTGGCACTATAGCTCCCCATAGTGCCACCTCCCCCCTCCTCCCCCTGTACATGGTGCAGAATGGGGTTTAAAAACCCCTCTGTGATTTACCCGAGTCCAACGCTGACAGCAGCTGTCAGGGGAGACCTAGTGCACATGCGCGGCAATGGCCACACTCACATTAGAATGGCCTCATAGGAAAGCATTATACAATGCTTTCCTATAGGGTCGGGTGACGCTGTCCTCATGCGTATCGTAAGGACTTTCAGTGTCAATTAGGTGTCCAAAAGTCGGCTAACGACCAAGAAGTCTCTCTATTGGTTGTCTGGTAGACAGCCTCTAGAGTTGGAGTTAAAAACTGCAATAATTACCTTTGCAGGGTTAAGGGACATGGGACACTGCACTCAGACCACTTCAATGAGCTGAAGAGGTCTGGGTGTCGATAGTGTACCTTTAAATACCTACCTTTCCAGCGCAAGATTGAGTTCCTGCAGCCAATTTATCCACCTCCAGCGATGCCCCAATGACTCTTCTCCTTTGTACAACTCAATGTATCTCATAGGGGACAAAAAGTGCATATTTGGCCAGCACAGCATTCCTCCAATGAAATGGAGGTTAGCTGTGAGAGCCAAATTTGTCAGTTCTCACACCAGAAGCGATCTAGTGGGTGTCAGGAAGACAGCCACTAGGGACGTATTTAACCCTGCAATATACATTTCTATTAAATGGCAATGCTTTGCATTACCAGGTTAAAACTAAATGACCGCAGCACTCAGACCACTTCATTGGGACAAGGTGACTTTAGTGGTCCATAAACCGTAACCAAAAAGAAAAAACCCTCTGTACACCTCTTTGGGTGGGAAAGAGTTAATACTCATTAAATGCCCCCTCCATCAATTATTTCAATTTATAGCAGTCTTTGGTAATCAAGCCAATTAGGGGAGTGAAGCTTTATAACTATAGATACTTTGGCTAAGGAAGGTTTGCTAATAGTATCTGTTAAATAGGTTGCAGTAATGAGAGAGCAGTGTGAACATAATTACTTTTAATGTGCTCTATGAGAGTTCATTCTGTGAGCACTGCTGGGGATTTTTGGAAAGGCTTTCTTAGGAGCGGTTTTGGCCATGGAGGTGAAATTATTATCCAAGTAAGAGAACCCTGGGAGTGTTAATTGAAATACAATGACTCCCATTATGCATGTTTTGTGGTTAAATAAACAACTGATGCTGTTCTTTTGCAGGTTGGCTTTGCTGGTAATCATTTGTGCGGTTGAGGTCTGGGCCCAGGGGAGTTCAGGAGCAGGTGAGGATTAAACTAGTCTACTAGGAGCAGCATCTGTTATTTATTTTATAATGTGTGCTTTATGTATGTTTGTTATGCTGTCTGTACAGGAACTTAAAAAATAAAGCCATACTTGGCAAACTGATCTGAAATTGACCTGATGGGTATTTATAACTGTTCCCTCCTGCACTGTGACTATTACACCTTGCGCTAAGCAGTTTTGATGAACTGTATATTGGCACTTTTTGATGGCATACCATACCAACTCTCCCTGCTTGGGAGGTACAGTCCCTATTTTGCATCCAATCCGCTCTTTTCTATCCTAATGTCCCTCTTTTCTAGGTACACATATAGCTATATATTGTGGTGTCTATAACACAGAGCTCCATAGTAATGTCTTTTATTTAACCATAAATGTTTGGCCATCAGCCTGCGTAAATAAGATTCATTACTTGTGTTCATAATTATTGCAACTTAAATTATTTTGAAGTCTCCCTAAATGCTTCAGAACAGCCCTAGCTACACACCCACTCAAACCATGTATTAAAGTGTCCTTGTCTACGTAAAATGCTGGGAGGCACGTGACAATCGTATGTCGTGTTTATTCCACATGGTCGTGAAATCTGCAGATCTTTACCGACATGTCAATGTGTGGCTAATACTGAGCGATTTGTGCAACAAAGTGAGATTTATTTACTAAACACGGAGTTGGCCTAACTGACTATAGTGGAGGAGACGATTTGTAAACTGGCAATCTTTGCATAAACTGAGTAATTCATTTTACAATTCCCTGCGATTCGGTGGCTACTGAATATATCCCACGGCATTTTTCCTGGACACATTGCACGACTTCTTGCAGTTGGGTTGTATGTGATCAGTCCTGCCCTACAGAATGTAGAAGTCATATGCTGCAGCATGGCAATCGGCTAACCGTTCAAAGCCACTTCTTATAAAATTGTTTGATTTCTCTTTTGGCCTCTAAATTCTATTTCATAGGTGTACCAGGGGTGTCACATCTTAATGAAGAGACAAGTTGCCCTCCTAGTCCACTATTTCCATTTTATAGACTCTTTTTTTTTTTGGCATGCATTTGGGGTAGCTTATGTTTAAGACAGACAATCTTGGCAAAAACCTGGTATTCAGAGCAAAAATGCAAAACTTTCAAACTCAATGTTCTATAAGTAAACTATAGACAGTAACTTTCTGTGTAAACACCTTAATGAAACATGCCAACCACACAAATGGTAAAGTTCAAATTCTAGACCAAAACTGAAAAAATTTACATAGAATCACTCCCTTCCCTTATTCAGTTACTTTGAATTCAAACTTGAAATTCCCAGCATTTTACACTTTATTAAATGGCCCTGTATAACCTACTAAACCATGTTGAATAGTGCATATTCTGTCTTTTCAGGAATTCTCTCATCGTGCCAAAGGTCCTTTGTAGTAATTAATTTGCCAGCCGGAAATGTGCTCAACCGCAAAGTGCAGTTTTCAGCTATTGGTAAGTCCATATATGAACGTAAAACTAACACAATGCACCCGAAAGACCTTCACGAAGCAAATGCTAATATAAAGCTATTAAAACGGGTACACCCTATCACACCCTCATCTCATCGCACTAATTTTTTCTTCTCTAAAACACACCAAACCAGCAGAACACATACTTACCCCATGTGACTTGAAAGGTTACATGCTATGAAGTTGACACTTGCTATGATGTTGACACTCGAGAGAGAGAGAGATATTCTCAGCCCAATTTGACACAGTTTTCAAACGTTGCTCTAGTCAGAGTTGGACTACTTTAGCCTAAACATTGTCATTTGGATTCCAGCTAGAATCTGGGTTTTAGGGACTACAACCCTTAAGTTTTCAGTACAATGAATAAATGCATGACTTTTAGCCTCCAGGAAGCTGTAAAGGTTAACTTAATGCATATTGTGTATTTACTCTCTGTTTAATCTATTGTGTGCCAGAGCGTTAACGAAAAACGTGTAAACAATTGACTGGTTCTGATCTCCGTTTACATTACGTCTGAGATTTCATTAAAGGAAAGAAAATTCAGCCGATTAGCAGTATAGAAAAATAACTCTTGTTGGTGTGGATATAGTCTTTCTAATGGCAGAATAGACTGATTTTTCACCTAACTCTGAATAATGCTCTCTAGGCATAATAGGATAATTGATCACATGGAGATCTGTGGGATATCTAATCAGTCTAAAACAACCCGTTCTGGGTTACTGGACAACTGGTAATTATGCACTTGGTCTTAAGTGCTTTTCGTATGTACATCCTGTCCCTAAAGTCTTGCGGATGGAACACTCCAAGAAACTGCACAGTTTTCACTTTTTCAGTGGCTGTCACATAGAAATATTGGACTGTGGCAATTACTGTACATGCTTCTTGGAAGCATTACTGCAATATTGACATTTGATTGGCCACCACTCAGAACTGTTAGCTTTGTTGAAGGGGGATTGGGCTGCCATGATTCCTCTGTACAGGATCACCGTTAATGGGGTGTGGTGTGTGTGTGTGTGTGTGTGTGTGTGTTTTTATTTTATTTTTTTAGGTGGGTTCACATGTAAAGCTTTAGCCAGTGCCAAAGGTTTATTAAATGTGCTAGAGAATTCTTCTGGATGGCTCAGGAGGCGGGATTGTCCTTGCTTTGATCGACAACTTTCACTATCTTTTTATTTTTTTTTTTTTTTTTCCTCTGAATTCTGGTATTGATGGCTAAAAAGTGGCTGCTCTTGGGCAGCCTGTGTCTGAGATTCAAACGATCTATTTGTATTTGCAATTCTCACTCAAACTGTAACTATCTTCTTTGCCACAGATGAATTTGGGAGAGCATTTCTCATCGGCAACCAGTTGGCCTCTCAGTGTGGGTATACAATCTCTTATGATGCCTGGGGCAACATTGAATTTAGAGCTTCACTTCTCAGCTGTTACACCCAGATTAGGGTAAGATGAGAGCTTTTCTTTCCTATTCTGGCAATTCCTTCTGAGGACTTTGTATTTTTTGCTTTTCTTTTATAAAATGTTTGCCTTCCCCAGAATGACAGCTACTTCACGGTCTCCGTAAAAGTAGATATCTCCACTGGCCTAAGCACTGTGGGTGAGAGTAACAAAAGATCAGTTGACTGTCCCTACAAGTGGCGTCCTCGTGAAGTTGTCTGTGAAACGAGCTACATGGAGGCAAGTAGCCAATATGAACTGGATTTTACCGCAACTTTGGGCATCATGAACGAAACTGATGGTCTGTAGATCAATCATCTCGTATGAAGATATTTTAGAACAATTACTGTTTTTAGCTCACTGTGTTTCTCAAATATTCCTTATGAAATTTGCTTCCAAAAGCACTTTGGTAAGAGGCGCAGAGGTGGACTACTTTCAGTGAGCATTACGAAATGTCAATTTATCGACCGGCTTTACAGGAAATCTGCATTTAAAAGGTTGAGGGATGAGAAAAAGGCAGCAGAATGTGTAGAAAGGATGTGCGTTGAAGGGAGAATATGCAATCTTTATATTCAATTCTGATTGGAAAGGGTGGTATCAAATGTTACCTTGGCAAAATGCTGAGTAAGACATGTTGATCATGACTTGCCTGCAGTGTGTGCAAGTTTATAATAAAAAACACTTTTAGTAATGAGACAATATGCCTGAAAAGAATAAACATTATTGTAAACTACAGTATAGCAATTTTTAATTTGTTTTGTAATTTGATAAATTTGTGTACTGGCATGGTCGGTTTGGCTGACCACTTTCACAATAGCACAACTATTCATAACTTGTACATTTCATTACTTTAGACGGTAAAGCTTAATTTTGGTCTGACGGTAGGGTTTCCTTTCATTCAGAAACTACTGTAATCATTTCCTTCTAGGTGTCAGTCCGACGGACCATCCCAAATATTCCAGAAGGTGCTCTCCAAGATGAACCAGAAGACTGGTCTGAAGCCTTTCCAGAAGCAAGTATATGTTGGGTTCACTGCTGATGAATTGGCCATCTCTTGACCTGTGCTCCTCTTCTATCATCCCATATCCCGGGATATGGGATGATAGAAAGCTCCTCAAAGCTTCTGGAAAGTCTGGTCTTTATCTGTCTGGCTTGCTTCCTCAATTCCAACGCTCTCCTTGATCCTCTTCAGTCTGGCTTCTGCCTCCTCAACTGAGAATGACTAAATCCAAAGGCCACTACTCCTTACTAATTCTTCCTGACCTCTAATGCCTTTGACACTGATCATGTTCTCCTTCTCCAAACTTGAAGACTGTCCTCTCGTGGTTTTCCTCCCACCTCTCCCAACATTCATTTGATGTCTCCTTTTTCTAATGTCTCCTCCCTGCCTTGGTTGAAGTCCCCCTTCTGTTCTCTTTATACCTCCTGTTGGAAAACTTATTACCCCATTTGGATTTTGCTACCACCCATAGGCAGATATTTCTCCTCCCTAGATCTCTCCCCCACTTGTCCTGCAATGTGTCACTGCTAGCCTTTCTTCCATCTCTGATTGTATGTCCTTCTACTTTCTGACACTTAATCTCTCAAAAATGAAACTTCTGGTCTTTCCTCCTCTTTCGCTCTGCTTTCAAGTTTATGGTACCCGGGACAAGCTTGCTGTCTTAGTGTATTGATTCTGGTCTCATGTCAAGTCTGTTTCCAAATCCAGTCGATTCCACCTGAAAAACATTGCCTGCATCTGCCCTTTAAGCATGATGCTGCCAAGGAGCTTGTTTGTGCTCTAATTTCTCTCATGCAGCAGCTGTACTTTTCCAGCTACAGTCTGTAATGAATGTTGAACCAGACTGATGCTCCCCTCACACCTCACCACTAAATCAATCATTGCATTGGCTTCCTGTATCCTATAGTAGCCCATTCAAAATACTAACTTTCATAAAAAGCAATGAACGGTTCTAACCTTCGTATATCTCTTCACTGATTTATAGGTATGCCCTTTCTCCTGTATGCTGCTCACACCCGTGCTGTTCACTCGCGCTTGCAGGATTTATCGCAGGCGGTGCCTTTCCTTTGCAAGAACCTGCCTACCACCATCACTCTCCCATAGTCTTCAATAGTTTTTAAAAGTGCTACAAAACATCTCTTTAGGAAAGCTTATGGCCTCCTTGAGGAACCTCTACCTCACATGCCTGTCTCTTGCTCTCTCCTAAAGGGCAGCACTTTACTCTCTCCTCCAGCTCTGCTTCACTCCCTCCTTATTTGATTGCTATCCCCTGTCCTATTGTTTTATACCCCACCTCCTATAGACTGTAAGCTCGTTTTGAGCAGGGTCCTCATAAACATACTGTTCTGTAACATTTTGTATGCCTCATTTATTGTTAAATCTCCCCCCCTTTATAATATTGTAAAGTGCTATGGAATATGTTGGGGCTATATAAACGCCAAAATGACTAGTATCCCTACAGAAAGGGTTCAGTCTCAGGCCAGTATAAAATTCTCTTCAATTACTTGCTCTATGCAATGTACCCTAAAGGAACACTATAACATTGGGAATACAAACACGCATTCCTAAAGTTGGTGTTCTGTTGACTTAAAATTTTTTCTTTCTTTTTTTTTTTTTTTTTAAGCCTTTTCTGCAACCACCTCACCTCCATTGCTCAGATTATCGCTCTTGATTTAGGCAAATCCAGTGTTTTCCCATAGGGATGCACTGGAAGACCAGTGCGCATTTGCAAAAAAACTGCAGGACTGTACCAATCGGTATCTAATCAGATACACTGAACACTCAATTCATTGCTATGGAGAGCGCCAAGCAGATTGCAGGACCTTATCCAAGAAGTCCTCTTGTTTCTGACTTGACCACCACTAGAGGTGAACCTGGGCAGCAATGCCAACAAACACTGGCAAGATAAAGAGTAGCACTAACTGATTCAATAAATGCTTAAATGATTTACTTATTTACACTTATTATGACTATATAGCGCCACCAAATTCCACAGTGCTTTACAGTGGGTGGATGAACAGACATGTACACTATAAATGTAACATTTACAGGAAGGTCACATCACTGCCGAGTTGGCCTTCCACTTTTCATAGAGGCTCCGTTAAAAAAAAGTCACTGCATTGACACACACCATATTTAGTGTTTTATTTTATTATTCATTTTATTTCTCCCCTTTTAGGCAGTATCGGGACTCTTGTCAATCTGGCAAGTAGTATTCCATCTTACCTCAACTCGGAAAGCTATGTTGGTCAAAGATGCCCAAAAACTTGGCTATGGCATAAATACAACAGAGGCCAGAATAATTCTAAGAGCCCCATACAATGCTACGGAAGCCCGACTCCAAAGAGTAAGTTCCACGTGTCCCCTATTGAAGCGTATTTCAAGAACTAACTAATAAAATCTGAAGCAAAGTTTAAAGTTGCATCCCAACATCTAGGTAATGTTGTTTTAAATGAAGAATGCCTTTTTACATCTTGATTTGCTATATTTCTAGCTGGCTGTGGGTTTGTCATTTTTTAAAATATATTTTTTTTATTTTTATTTTGTAGGTCAGTGAAGTGGGGTTCTCTGCTGTAAGAGCTACTGTATTATACAAACAGCGCTGGTTTCTTCTCATGGCTGACACTGCCGTATCCTGCCCAGTTGGTGAGTTTCTAGAGCAGGTCAAAATGTGCAGAGCAACAATTTCACTTTTCTGTTGCATTAATAAACTGCATTCAAACCACTGCTTTGACAGCAGAATAGGTTTAAAAGGCTTAAAGATCTACTGTAAAAATGTCACTATACTGGTGAATCCCCAGAAATACTAGCTTTCCCTATTTTTAAACACTTCAAAAAATTAGTTTTGTTCAGTCCACACTTCATCAGGTATAGTACAAAAACGATTAAAGACAACTTAAAGCCGAATTAAATGAGCTTGACTCTTAATGCTTGCAGGAAGACTAGTTACTACAACATTATGGTCCAAAGTTCTATTACTACAAGAAATGTATCTAGTTGGAGAATATGGAGAGAAGGGAGACTTCTAATGTATAAACAAATGAACTAAAACCTATTGGTATGTGTGAATTTAACTGACTCCATGAGATTTAGTGATGGTGTATTATACGGGTGATTTCTACAGCCTTCAAAGCAGTTAGAAACCGTCACATGCTACAACATATAATTACTTTACATAGATTCAATTATCATAGATTAAAAAATGCTATTACTATTGAAGTGTTAAAGTACTTGTTAATGCACAAACAGTTAATTTAGTGATGTCCTCAACTGTAAGGTAGAGCCACAAACTTTAAACTGGCTAAAATAAATTGGGCAACTGCTGTGTACACTGGTTAAAGTGCTGATTGTACAGACTTGAATTAAAGGAGGCAGTTATGATAAAAATATTAATATGGGGGGGGTGGGGGGAAGGGTGGGGAGAGGGTAGGTTTAAGACAATCTCAGTTGATTCTGTTCATTTGGCCACAGCAAGAACGTAGCTTCACATGCAGTGCTCAAGGTGGGAGGTTTCAGTGCAGTCACATAGTATCTGGTATTTTCAGACCTTTCTCAATTTCCCTGGGGCTGCTGGGCTGAGCAGCTGGCATGCAGTCCCTGGGATCCCGTGGGCTGCTGGGCTGAGCAGCTGGCGTCCAGTGGGGCTGTAGGGGTTCAGCGGGGCTGCTGGGCTGAGTGGCTGGTGTGCAGTCCCTGGGGTCCAGTGTGGCTAAGCGGCTGGCTGGCTGCTCAACTCCCTCACGCACCTTTTGATGCCGGAGTGACGTCATATTCCGGCATGACTCCTGTGCGCACGAGAGAGTGGAGCCATGGAGAGTGTTCCCTCGCTGTCTGTGACCAATTTGTTTCACGAAATTTTGGCAGAACCCCACTTGTGTTCTCGCAGAACCCCCAATTGGGGAAAAGCTGGTTTTGAGTAAATGGTCAGTGTTTGTAGTATTGTAGCCTCTACAATTTATGTAGAACCTTTCAGGGCCTACTTATACATGCTGATTTGAAGATGGTTCTCCAGGCTAAATGAATGTCTGAGCCAATGATCGACTCCTATTCTGAGGCAGTTGTAATAGTTCTATAATTTGAGCCCCCAATATCTCTTATTTTCCCATTTTTGTTTTAATTCTGATTATTCAGTCCAGTACCTGTTTGAAAAAGTATATTCTTTAAGAGAAGCATGCCACACGTTAAATGAAAGTGTGTGTGTGTATACATTTTATTGGAAATGCCTTAATAGTTTTGTCCTTGTGCTGGTATGTAACTGCTCTCCTTCCTTTTAGATGATGTGACTTTTGTAGATGGAAAGATAATATGGACTGTTCCAAAAAACATTCCAGACTTGCTTATCGGTGCTAGTATGATAAAAATCACCCATACTGAAATTGGAGTTGACCTCACTACTCTGACAAAGGCTGAGTTGCTCAATAGAAGTTATTTGGTGGTTGACAACAGTGTGACCACTTCCATCACTATACCCTATGGATCACTTGGTGGCTATTATAAGGTAAAAGCAGGATATATTGCCCTGAAACTTATGTTCAGCAATATTCCTTTTAATTCTGGTATATATGTTGTAGCTTTTCAACACAACAGATGATTCCTTTGGATAAACTGACTTTTCTCAGTGTATCAATATTTGGTCTCCTACATTCCATGCCCCAAAGTTTATTAAAATCTAAAAGTAACAAAAATGCCCATTCTGCAATACCTGTGTATTTGAATTCATGAATCTATAATTCACCTGGTGTTGAATGCAGGGGAAGTTAAAAATGCAATAGCTGTGAAAACTACTGTATGGGGTTCACTATAATATCCCGCTCTAAAGATGCTCTGTAATAAAAAAAAGGTTTTACGTTTTTCAATTATGGCGGCTACCACTTTAAAATATGGTTATTAAAGACTTGAGGGAATGTTTCCAAATGTGTTACTGTTTGTCAGCAAGGCCATTGCAAGCCGAATGGGAGCTGGTCACATGATTTCTGTATGCCTGAAAGATTAAACTTTATCCCATGGGTTTATTGCAGCTATCGTATGAAATATAGGCAATGGGTATCACGGTGTCCAATAGTCTTTAAGCTAGATCTTGTGACCAGGTCTCATGGGTAACACAGCGCAATAAACTGGCTAAAAGAAACCTGGCACAGTTAAAAACTTTTTTTTTTTAATTTTTTTTTTATACTATTATTCATGTAAAGCAATGCTGAACTATGCATGTCATTTCCATTCTAATTGTACATTTAATGTACGGATAGCTCTTTAAATCTATGGTCTGAATTAAAAAAAAATAAAAATAAAAACCTTACTGTGCATGTTTTTGCTCCTTCAGAGTCGTACATCTTATGGAGAATATGGCATATTCTATCATATCAGAATGCTACTACAATATCTATGGGAAGACAACCGGAGGGGTGTGACCAAATATACGGTTATTAAAGATATAAAAACTCCCTTTGATGCTCGGCCACCAACTATAACAAACGGTATGCGTCTTGGGAAGCTTAGAGGATATTTAACTTACTTTTTAAAAGTGCTTTATTTGTAAACCAGACTTGTAGCAGTAAAACTTGCTTGTACGCAAACTTTCAGTGTCAAGTCTTTCAAAGTGAGTTGGTAGGACTCCCGTCTTGGATTGTATTTATTTTTAATTGAACTTTATCCGTGTTGAGTGATCTAACTTTTGGGTTTTGTTCTACTGACCATTGGACTCATAGAATTTTTTTTATAAATAACACTTAAATGTGGAAGTCTGAAGTTGCAGATAACTTTTTATTTATTTTTTTAACTTTTATTCTTCCTTCTGTTTAGAGACAATCATTTCTTCCAGGGAATTTAATGTAACCATTGGAACATTTTTACCGGATGTAGAGCTGGTGAACCTAACAATTGGTCTTGTAACCATACCTGTATCAGAGTGTAATAAATTAGGATGTATGATTTCTTCACGGAGGCATCCAAATGGAAGTATCACTTTTATATTAAAAGTTCCCTTTGACGATTCCAATGTGGAAAAGCAGGTACTGTGGCACTCTTGTTTGGAACAACTGTATAAATGTAAATCTATAACTGACCTTTAATGTGTTTATTTTTGTATTTTAGTATATCCCAGAATATACCCATGTTTACACTTTGAACGTCACTTTTGGGTTCCTTATCATTCCAAGTATGGAGACATTTACTAAAAGAACTTCAGTTACCATTACAATTGAAGATGCAGGTAATGTACATTTTATAATGAAAAACTAGCAGAAACTCTAACCTTGCCTTGGTTGGATATGGTGGTAACTTGACATTTAACTCTTGGCAAATTAAGAACTTAGTGATGGTTTAAATAATGGTGAAAACTTGGTCCTTGCAGCACTTTTGTCAGGTTTACATGTCTCTGGAAAAAAAAATCAATAAGCGATACGTCAGCTTTGTTTTGAAATATGAAGATACTAACTGAAGCCCATTCTTTTACAGTAGATAACAGTTGATAATGCATATTGATGCCTTATCAAAGTAAGACATACTCTTAAGCACTACCATGAAACTCGATGTATAGTTTGTGGGAAATTAAGAGTAGATTCTTCTATAGATTTGGGAGACGGATTTTAAGGTTGCATACAAATTTAATCCAAGTATAAGGTGGAGTGAAAAAATTACAAATTGCCTTTTCTCTCCACCCATTACTAAAGTTGATTGTAGGGTTCCAAAATGGGTAAACCCAGTCCTATTAATGATCCTCGTGCTTAACTGAACAGTGGTATACAAATAGTATCCTTTATGAGCAAAGTTCTAATTGGTCTAAAACTGTGGCTCTTTAACATTCCTTCCCTGGTGTGGCTGTCTGCAAGGATTTTTCTCTACTGCTAAACTTCAGCTTTTTGTTTAACTAGTGCCTCCCACTGCTAAAGAGGCCTGTGGATCATCCTTGACCTTGAATGTCACTCGTGGGAATGTGGACACAAATTGGGTTCCATACATCAAGAATGTGCCTGTGAGCCTGGATTCTGCGCAAAAATATGGATTTCAGTATTCATCGAGTAACACAAACTTTATAGTTTCAGTTCCACCCTCATCCAGTCTTGTTGCTTATGATGTAAGGACTAACGAATGATATATATTTAAAGTAATTTAAGGACCATAAGTAAACCATACAATGCCTTGAAATTGTCACAAGACTGCTTTTACATTCACAATGTGCCGCCATAAAAATCGAATATCACAACCTTGTAGATAGCTTGGCAGCCAATGCAATATTTCCGTTTATTTCTGGAATGCCTTACTCCAGAGGTTAATGTTATAAATTAATCCTTGATCTTATGATAAAAGGATTCCTTTTGATTAAACCTTTGATATTAAAGAACACTCCAGAGTTGACTGAATTAGACCACTCCCTCAGCAAGTCAGCATACATAAAATCTAGGGGTTTAGGTAATCTGATAACAGGTGTCCAGCTTTTGTAGACTAGACCTTCTTCTATGACCATTTAGGGATTGTTATTTTTAGTTTACTTCCAATAGTCGCATATGTTGTAGCTCAACTTGTGCTGCAAGCTTGCAGGGACACTAAGCACCAGAACTACTACAGTTTAATGGGTCGCTTAATGTCTGGGGGACCCCTTTAAATGAACTTGTTTAAGATAGTTGAGTGTTTGTAGAAGGCTAGTCCTGGGTTGGGATGCAGTATTACATTGAGAAATTGTGGCTTAACGCAGAAGCAACATAGATGAAACACTGGTATCTCCAAACACTAATGTATGGCTTGTGGAGTTAACTGTAGCTTTTGTTGGGACATAACTTCTGAACTATAACACTATGCATGTGGAAAAGAGTATAAAACTCTTGAACCTAAGACAAACCTATTGCAAAAATCTTGAAGGGACACTATAGTCACCAAAACAACTTTAGCTTAATGATACAGTTTTGGTGTATAGAACATGCCCCTGCAGCCTCACTGCTCAATCCTCTGCCATTTAGGAGTTAAATCCCTTTGTTTATGAAACCTAGTCACACCTCCCTGCATGTGACTTGCACAGCCTTCCTAAAGACTTCCTGTAAAGAGTCATCTAAAGTTTATCCTTTCTTTATTGCAAGTTCTTTTTTATTTAGATTTATTTATTATCCCCTGCTATGGTAATGGCTTGCTAGAACCTGCAAGAGTCCCCTGTATGGGATTAAAGTTCAATTTACAGAGCAAGAGACAAAATTGTTTAAGGTAACATACATCTGATTGAAGTGAAAGCATTTTTGTTTCATGCAGGCTGTGTCAATCAGAGCCAGGGGAGGTGTGACAAGGGCTGCATAAACAGAAATAGTGATTTAACTCCTAAATGGCAGTGAAACCTGAGAAGCATGATCTATACACTAAAACTGCTTCATTAAGCTAAAGTTGTTTAGGTGACTATAGTTTTCCTTTACCATTACCCTCTACATGTACCACCAGTAGTTCCATTGTAAGTTTCCAAGTGTTGAGGCATCAACCCCGATCTCTATTGCATTGAACACTAATTTATCAAATGTCTATCACCCTCACTAATCATGTTATTTTTGACAAGATCACCATACTGTATGTAGGCGAAGGTTCCCTGACCCTCAAGATGCGTCAAAGGTTTAGAAATTCTAGGAAAGGTGTTTGACTTCTGCATCACCCTATAAATGCGTTTTGGGTTTTTTGGTTGTGTGTGTGATTTTTTTTTTTTTTAACTTTCTGGATGGCCCAACTCATCCAAAATTGCTAACCACTTCTGAAAGCACAAGGTGGCTTTTAATTTTTTTTTATTTGTTTTTTTTTTTTCTAAATTGCTTTGTGACAGATGACCTTCATTGTTGGGTTTTCTTTAATCTCTAAGCCATAACATTCTTTGCATATCTATTTTTTTTATTTTGTCTGTCTTTGTCTAGTCTGTCAGTTCCCTGGGCTTGAAAATTACTCTACCATTGACCCTGATGGATGACTCTTCTGGACTTTCAAAATATAAATTCAGTATTACCTGTACCTATCCTGCAAATGAATTGATCCGTAAGTGACTACTTGTGTTGTGGAACGATTGACACAAATTCAATTTTATATCATTTTTATTTTTAAAAACTTACACTTTCAGAGTGTTTTCCGAATGGAACCATAAGTGTGGTTGTAATGAAGCTAGCTGCTGTACCAGACATGGACCTGTCTCTCCTCCAATTAAGGGCCAGATCCTGCCGACCTGCTTTGTACTCTGACACAAACGCCATATTCATTTTTCGAGTAAACACTTGTGAAACTAGCAGACAGGTACCTCAAAAGATAACTTGTCATATGGTGGGTTAATGAAGGAGGGGTGTACATGCTATAAACAACTTTCCTGAGCACTGATTTGATAGACCTGATGAACAGGTGTATAGTCTAATTGTTTGAATGCAGTAATCGAGATTAATTCTGCAATGGACTGAATCACACCCAGATCCATGAGAAGAGAACTATTAGAATGGAGTTCCGGGCCAGCCCAAGACATTGTGCTGCCCGGGTCCAATAACTGAAAGCTGCCCCTCAACAAAACCATGCAGACTAAAACCTTTAATTATCACGGTTAGAAATATAATTAAACTAAACTTATCAAGAAGTGTTGATATAAAAATAGGGGTTGCAATGTGTGTATTATGTGCTGTAGCACTGGATACAGACAAGCTCTCTGTATTCATGGCTTTTCATGACTGTATGACAGTCTTCAGGGGTGACTGTGACAGGTTGAGTGTGAGGTGGGGTGAATGACAGGGTTTGGAAGGTGAAGGGGAAAAAAGGAACTGGCAGGCCACTTGGAACACACCCGGTGGAGGGAGTGACAGTGCAAGTTGAAGTGAGCATGACCGGATTGGGAGTGTGGGTGAAAGGTGAGTGATGGGATTAGGATGGGTTAATGTGAAGAGGTATATGGGTGGCAGTGGTGACGGGATTAGGGGTTAATGTAATGGAGTGTGGATTTATTTTAATTCCCCTTAGTAATAGATTCACTGATGGTCCAGTGGCCTTGCTTTCTGGTGTGCAGCTCCACAGGATGCAGACAGACCATGTGCTGGAGGTCTTGCAAGCTATGGCATTTGAAGTGTCAGAGCATTGCCATGGTAACATGAAAAAATGCACCTGGCAGAGCTGTAGACCAGAGGCTGTGCTGGGTTCTAAACCCCAGTCTGAGTGGAAGGGACCTGCATACACGATAAACCACCAGGCCCTCTGTTATGGACAGAGGACCCAGCAGATTTATCTCCCCTAAGGGGAGTTAGATGGCTGCCTAACTTTCCCAAATAAAGAACAGCTTGTGTGGTCTGCAGATAAGAACTTGATGTGGACTAGTGTGTGTAGGGGTGGCAAAAAGGGCCACCTGGGGCCATGGACCCATTGGAACCCATGCATGGGCTGACTCTGACTGTATTACACAGGGACATAAAGCTTTGGTAGTTACTCAGCTACCGGTCATTGGTGAACTGTTGAGATGAGGTTGGGATTACCTACTTGCAAATTTGCATGTTGATGAGTTAATGCTGCTAATGTACAATTTGCTTTCAGGGGAAAGCGCTAGATAAATGACAATCAGAATGCATTCTGACATACACCTTTAAAAAAAAAAAAAAAAATTTAAAAAAAAAAAGGGGCTTGGGAAAATGATGCTAACCTTGTCACAAGGAGATGGAACTTGTCAACACTTGAGATTTGGGTTAAGATTATTCTGACTTTCAAATGATGTGGGTTCTCTAATAGTACAATTGGCCTCGAGACTTGAGCAGGGACTAGTGGAAAGGGTGGCTATTGAGTTTTTGCCTATATTCAGAGTTCATATTTCTTCCTTCTATACGGAAGAGAATCAAACTGTGAAATATTAAAGACACCAATGCAGTTTAATTATTTCCAAAGTAATTGGTCAAATAAGTTGGTTATGTCTTCTCTTCTCTTCAGTTTTCGGGTAACATTATGACTTATGAAAACGATGTATTGTACTTCAGATCCGGATCTACAGTTCCTGCTTACCAGTAAGTGAGATTATTTCAGAATTATGAAAGCTGACCAAGACTGGTTTTGGTATTAACCATGAATAACTAACTAGTTGTGATAATCACATTCCTAAAACAAACTAGCCACAGTGACCATTTCTAAAGCCGTAGTTGACATCTCCTGTTTGATTTTTGTCGGACACATAGGCATGACATTTACCTGTGCAATCAATTATTCAACTGGCAAACTAGCTCTGTCTCTTGACCTTAAAGTAAAGTGTGCAAAACGCCTTAAGTGTAATTACTCCGTTGTTCATGTGAACTTTTTATTTTTTTTCTCAGCTTGTAAAGTTAACGAGTGTCCTAACTCACGTCCAATACATATGGTGTGGAGATTAAAAATAATTAAAACAATGAAGTGGGTTCCCACAGTCCAATTATAAGTTGTTCAAGGGGTGTCTTGTCCCCTGGTTATCTTAAGTTGTAGGTCGGTCTAATTCCAACCCATACCACATAAGTTAAACTTCTATTCTACCTCTTCTGTGTAGAACATGCAGAGGTTTGGTACATTGTAAAAATAAAACCAGTTCTGTATAAATTGTTACTTCACTCGTAGTCTTGATCAGTCCTTTCCATTGCTTTGACCAAGAAATTGTTGCTAAGGGGAAAAAAATACCCATTGCTTAACTGACTATATATGGAGGAAAACCAAAAAATGACCCAGAACCTACTGGCTGGAGTGTTTAGAAATTAATGAAAAATATATATACGCTAGGTTTGGCTGGAAAAGCCACAATTGCAAATTACCTGTTTTTTACAATTTCACATCTGGATGACACTAGCTGCAATTGTTGCGTTCTCTGCAGAACGCTGACCTTTGTGTGCAGGTCACTACTTGTGCGTTAGATACTACCCTGTGTAAATGCAGACTTTTCTGAGATATACTGGTTCGTACACTGATTTACACTTGATAGTCTGTTTCCTTTAACAAACTTCTCCCACAACTTCTTCTACAGGCTAAGAGTTTCTTGCAACTACACTATAAATAATACCATGTATTTCCGGTATTCTTTTGACTACAACCCTGCACCCAGCGCTCAAACTACAAATGATCCTCTTGTATTTATTTTAAGGTTAAGTAAAGGTAAGTTTGTACACTTATTTTTTTTTTTCTCCTATATAAACTTGACTGACTAGAGATCACTTAAACAAACCATTACAGCTGTAGGAGTGACCTGGTGCATTTCTACTGTAACCAGTAAAACTACTGGTTCTAGATACTTTGATTTGCCGTGGTCCACTGGGTGCAGCTCCCTGCCTACATTACAAAGGCCAATAACTCCAAACTGTTAGCCCTGTGGTGCATCGCTAGCTTATTTCCTGAAAACCTAGGATGAAGACTTGCATCAATTACTCTGCCTTTCTCACATTTTTGTTGATCCAAAAGCCCAGTTTTCTGTTTTCAAACTCTGCAACAGACAGATGGCAGTCAGATCTCTTCTTGGTTCAAGAAGTGAATAATACCACACATTCTATCCCTGATTGTTTGGGTGTTTTTTTTTTTTTGCAAAATTCATCCACTTGCTATTTAATACCCTGCAAAGACTCTAAAACTCTTCAGGCAGAGAATCCCACATAGGCCAGTGAAAGGTGTCATTTTTGTAAGTAAAACAGATTTAAAATTGTTGGCCTTTGTTCACAACTAAAATCTTCCATTCAACTTATTAACTGTGTAGTTATTCATAACCTGGGCACTAGAAGAAAATCCTGCAAGGATTGATTACACAGGTGGATGCATGTTGCGGCCTACTCCTCCCTCCAAAAATGCACCTGACTCGTAACCTCCCTTCTTGTTTGTATCCCCCATTTTTCAATTTTACCCCATTTAGTGTATCTTATCACCTTTCTCAGCCTGCAGTAGTGGATCTTCTGTATACTCTAGCTGGTCTGTCAGGACTCTGCTCACAGAGAAACAACTTCCTGTCAGACCTTGTTAGAGGATACTGAAGATCCTCCACCATGTTCTGCTCGGCAATGCTACATGAAGTGACTGGCAGGAGGGTGAGCACTGTCTGCTTCCCTCCTGCCTGTCACTCAGGGCCCCTGGACATTGTGCAATATGTCCAGAATAAAGTCTGATATTGGACAGTCAAAGTCTGGGATGTACAATAAGGGCTGGGGGAGCTTGCAAAGGCTGCAGATAAGAGATCATTACACTTTTTGTTTTTTGGGGGGGGGGGTATTTTTATTTGGGTAGTGGGGTGTCCCTCTAAACTCCATGCATGTGGATAATTGATTGCAAGCTATAACACAATGTTTGGTACTTTGTCATGCTGTAGATGAAATGTACAACACCTTCTATGACACATCAGAATATCCAGTTGTTAAATATTTGAAGGATCCACTGTATTTTGAAGTTGAGCTGCTGCACAGCCAAGACTTGCGGCTTGAGCTCTTCTTGGAGAACTGTTGGGCTACAGCTTCGCCTGAGAGAGGCAGTGTGCCGATGTGGAATGTTGTGGTGAACAGGTAAGTTCCTTTGATCATGACACAATGTGGTAAATTTATTTTTTTGCAAATTTTTAAGGACAAAACGGCCAATGTCTTAAAGAAAAGTTTACATTTCTGATATGCACAAGGTATCTTCAAAACAAATGATGTGTTCTGTTTTCTTTCCTCTCACGCTACAGCTGCGAATTTTCAGAGACCTATAATACTATATTCCATCCAGTGACCTCCAACAACAGGGTGAAGTTCCCAAAACTCCTGAAAAGATTTGAAGTAAACATGTTTACGTTTATGAATGCAGACCAAGCTTATGCAGGAAAGGTGAGGATAGTGGTTACGCCTACTGGTTCTATCTTGCCAGGAAAGGTTGAATGATCTTAACATGTATAGCTTGGAGGAAAGACAAGACCGGGGGGATATGATAGAAACATTTGAATACATAAAGGGAATCAACACAGTAAAGGAGGAGACTATATTTAAAAGAAGAAAAACTACAAGTAGAAGAGGACATAGTCTTAAATTACAGGGGCAAAGGTTTAAAAATATCAGGAAGTATTACTTTACTGAGAGGGTAGTGGAAGCATGGAATAGCCTTCCAGCTGATGTGGTAGAGGTTAGCACAGTGAAGAAGTTTAAGCATGCATGGGAGCATAAGGCTATCAGAACTATGAGAAGGCTAGGGACTAATGAAAGTATTTAGAAAATTGGGCAGACAATATGGGCAAAACTCTTATCTGCCGTCACATTCTATGGTTAAAGGGACACTGTAGGCACCCAAAACACTTGGGGCATTGCATCCAGACCACTTCAATGTGCTCATGTCCCTTAACCCTACAGTAGTAATTGTCTCAGTTTCTGAGAAGCTGCAATATTTACCTTGCAGGGTTAACTCCTCTAGTGGCGGTCATTGCCGCACATGTGGATTAGGTCTCCCCTGCAGGCTGACGGTGGGGAGGAGTGTTGGCAGAGCTTGACCCAGCACCAAGAGACATTGGGGAGCACTGTACAAACTGGTTTGCTTTCCTGGTATTATAGAATCCCTTTAAGCGGAATCTACATTTTTGTACATGAAATTGTTAAAACCAGGATTAAATCTGTATATATATACTACAAACTGTAACCTAAAACTAGTTGGGGCTCATCATAGTCCTACAGAAAGACTAAAAAGTTGGTGGTAACAGTGCCACTTGGTGTTCGGTCTTTAAAACACAAATTACATTTTGTAAATGGTGGTATTCCAATTTCTTTATATTCATGTAGCCTGATGGCATGTGCTCCTATGCACTTAAAATACTTGTACCCTGTGGCTAGCGTGGCATTGCTAATGTCTCTTGACTTCATGTTGGATAAAGTGGGCTATCGATTCGATATTTATTTAAAAGCTAAAAAATAAGCTTAGTAGCAGGAGCACCAAACTTGCTTTACATGGCACTGTAAGCCATGCCACTGTAAAGGGGGTGCAGCTTGCCATCCGAGCATATGCCACACAGTGGTGATGAAGGGAGTTACCCAGGGTTTGCATGTCCTCCTCAAGCTGATCAATCTAATCAGCTGTGAAAGAATGCTTCATTCACTATTACAGGAAATCTTTCATGGAATATTTAAAAGAGCCAGTAGATGGCAGCAACATACCACGCTGTACTCTTTAAATAAGAACTCTATCTGCCTTTATTGCTACTGATATTGGCAAAGGATATAGTTTGGGTTAAGGATAGGGTTATTGCAAAGGTAGGGTTGTTATAGGGTTAGTGTTAATTTCTGGTAGTTGGCAATCTGCACTGCTATGTATATCTGTTTTTGTTTTTATTTAGTTGCACTGGGTGTGTAAAAATGTTCACTAACATTTTATTCACTTGATATTGGGTATACATTTAGGCTATTGAGAGCCAATTCTGTGGGTTTTTTTTTTGTTTTTTTTATATCAAATGTGTGTAAGGGCTCTTGAAGAAAAACCCTTAAGTTATGATGGAACACACTGCACAAATTCTAGGTTTGGTTTTGGTTCAGAACGTGGACGATTATCTTGTCCTTAAGGGGTCAACACGTAATGCATAATTTACCAATAGCTTAATGCTAGGAATGGTGGCAAGTTCTTCTAAACACATTCTAAAGGCCCAAACTTAATGTCTTTTTGGGGCATTTGCTAAAATAAAGCTTGGTTTCATTGCCTGTTGACTGCTGCACTTGAATCCTGGAGTGTTTCTTTATTTTCTTTTTCTCATTCCTGTCATACAGATCTATTTCCACTGCAGTGTCGTAATTTGTAATTCTGAAACCCTCTCTTCTGATCCCATCTGCACTAGATCTTGCATACCCAACAGGCAGCGGTTAGGTGAGTAAAGTAATCTTTAAATTGATTCAGTTTAGAAGTTCTGTGCTGACATGTTGCACTCAGCCAGAGTAGAATCTGGTTTAAAGTCCAGACTTTGTATCTGACTCCATAAAGGGGTTTTCTTACTATATTCTAAGCCACAAGGATTGAGGCAGCCGTTAGGCTTTCTGAACAGATTATCTGAAATACAAAACTGCCATGAAGTGCTGCCCATCACTTGCCTATAACCTGAAAGTATGACCGGTACTTAAATCTTCCAGGCATTAAACCTTCAGTTTCTCTACCAGGGCGAAGTGTGGATTCTCTGAGTCAATCTGACAACTTTGTGAGTTCTGAAGCTCTCTGGCTGACCCCTGAATCTGGACTGGAGACTGCACAGTGTAAGTGTAATAAAGTAGGTTTAATGGCCTGTGCACTGGTCCGTTAAATGCCACTTCACTTGTGGTGTGAATTAATGTCGGTATATTTGTGTAATAATGGATAAAGGATAGAAAACGAGTTTAGGAGCCGGTGTATGTGTTTTCATGCATCTCTGGCCCATCTTTCAGGAATCCATTAACTACAATTTGTGCCCTTCCTGAAAAGCACAAGTTGCAAACACTTGTGTAGTAAACTGTTTTTTTTTTTTTGTTTTTTGTTTTTTTTTTCACAGCTTCCTTAACCCCTTAAGGACACATGACAGAAATATTCCATCATGATTCCCTTTTTATTCCAGAAGTTGTCTTTAAGGGGTTAAATACACATCCAAAGTGGGGAATAGAGGTTGGCCTGCTCAGGTCACAGTTCTGGGTAGAGGTTGTTAATCTTGAGCTGCTACACTCATACTGGTGAGCAGCAGATATTATTGGAATCATAATATACTATTAACTTCAATTACTTAAACTTAAGAAAAATGCATTGTACGCCTATCTTTATGGGTTGTCTTTAATCCATCTTCTCAGGCTGTGGCTGAGCATTTTAACTAGCGGTTCCTAGCAGTCATTTCGGAAAGTTGGAGTCTTTCCCCAGACTGGATATTGGCTCAAATGTAACATTGTACACCATAATGTATTGCAGTCGGACCTCAAAATGACCAACAAAAACTGCCTTCTCTACGCTGTGCTTAGAGTTCCATCAGTTGTGACCAGTGAATTCTGTATAAGTAACTCTATGCCATTGCCTTGGAAACATTTCAAACTGTATTTCTTAATGGTAAAGATTTTGCATGTTGTAAAATGTCAATGCCAGGTAGACATGCATCACATGTAGCAATCAGTCAATTTTGTATGGTACTGCAGGGAACAAAGATTTTTCAGCAGGATAACTAAACTTGTCTAATCTTTTTATAGAACCCATAAACCTGAACTGTGTATATGAAAAATGCTTTCTATATTGAAGGGTGGATGTGACACCTGGACACATGTCTTAATGAGTGAGCTCATACAGTAAATACATGGTTTTAAATCTAATTTATTTTTTTTTCTTTCCAGTTAAGAGCAATCTTGCCATTCAGTGACTCCTGGATCGAAGTTAAAATTTTTGATAATAAAAGGTGACTAAATGTGCGGTTTCTCTTGTCATTGCTGTAATAGTGAAGCGTGCATATTAACAATGGCCTTTACAAATTCATTGGTTACAAAGATTCAAATGAATGGAGATTCTTCACACCATTATACCAATCTTTTAGAACAGAATAACTGGCACAGGTTTTAAAAGAACAGCAAGGTATAGTAGTTATGGTGCCCTGGTGACCCACATTGTAAGTAGACAAAGTTTGACTACTTATATGGTTTGCAGGTGCTGATTCTCACTTCTACATCATCAGATCTAACCTCCTGCTTAGGAGATGTCATAAGTTTAATGGAAATCAAAAAATGCATTTGGAGTGCTGTCAGCGGTTTCATTTCTCGTGCTGAATTTTGCTGGCATCCTAAGGGGACAGATGAGAAATGGCATGAGATTGTGGGAGGTGGTTGCCATAATACATAGTGACACTGGGTACCATAGCTTTCACTAGTGTGCATTCACTAAATAAACTGAAAATCAAATTCCAAAACTCTGGCTAAAATAGCCAAGCTACAGTTCAATGTTCAATCTGTATGTTGGTGGAAAAATTACAAATTACTAATAAGCTGTCTGGACCCAGTCCCTAGGCAGCTGAATAGAACAGAAGCCCAACTCTCTGAGAAATCCTGAAAGATTGCACGTCTTGCAATGTGGGTAATATGCCCAATGTGCCTCTAGACAGTGCTGAGACTCCATGCAATCAAAGTAACGAACTAGTCTGCTGAGAACTAAAATCATGTGTGCGTTACTTGTTAAAGATCAAGGTTGGCAACAAAATGATAAACATATGTGACCAAACCTGTTTGGAGCTCTGGTCCTGATCACCCTTCTCAACACTTGGTGGTCTCACTACCTGGAGCATTGTGGTCTGTGTGGTGTCCGGCAAGTAAAGAGTTTTAAATGTTTGTAAATTGGAGAATTAAACACAGAATTTTAGCAAATTAAATCCAACTGTCAAAATGTAGGATAAAATGGCAGCTTCCAAAATTGGCTTTTACCAATTTGTCAATTCATATTTAATTCGCTACTTATTTTATTTTTAAATAACCCTTTCTAATATACCATGAATTACTCATCAGACTGGCCAGTGGATACATTTTGCTTAATTTCCTGCTGATCTGAAAGGTAAATGCAAATTGAGTAGAGTTCAAATACTAGAAGCGGCAAATGTCTTGCGCTAGTGTTTACAGAGCTTTCTTAACACCTCCGTGCCCTTGAAGTTGGTTATTTTATGACCTCACATTTCACCTGCTGTTTTAGAACCCTATCAGCAAAACTTGAAAGGAATTTAGTTTAACTGATCACCCAGGCTGGAGATTAATCCCCAATTTTTGTATTAATCATTATTTTTATCGAGACAGAATAGGAGTTGAGAAGTTGTGACATAAATGCAGAGGCAGGAAATGGAGGCCTTTGTTCCATATGAACTACTCCTGACATACAAATCCTCTTGTATAAAATTGTCATAATGGGAGGATGCTCTGCACCTGTCTTTCTCAGGCTAAGATGGAAACTATCCCATCAAAGCTGTGTACTAGGTTCCAGGAGATTTCAAAATTTCAATGAATTGGTGTGATATGCCCCATAAACTACAGATTTAACGCTCTGGCTTCGGACCAGTAGTGGAGATGTTGAAACACTATTGCACATCTTCTGGAAATGCCCTGTACTGCAGCTATACTGGAAGTGGCTGTACGACACCACAGCCTCCCTGGCTCACAAAGGGATGGAATTTTACTTTGTAGATGCACTGCTCAGCCAGACCAGGCTCCCAATATCCAAATAAAATCTATTTCGAAGCACTTGCCCACTGTGGTTCGATTCCTGTCCTTTTGAATGCACCTACACATGAAAGTTGGCTGGAGGAAATTTGTTAGATGGATTCATACCTAATGAATACAGAGGACTTAGCTGTTTTTCCTGGATGCTTAGATCTGTCTGCCACAGGTGCGAATACTTGAGAATAAGGGGTTTCTTTTTCTTCTTCCCTCACCCCCCTTCCCCCATTTACTGTCTTGTACTGTAAATAGATTGTCAAAAATAAATCTGTTTTATGAATTAATTGTATCTGTTTAATGTACAGGTTGTTTTTTTCTCTCATGTCTTCTCCTCTCCGCCCCCTCCCTCTTCTTCTCTAGGCATACACCCTATTTAGGATCTGTTAATTTTTATCTCTTGTTACATCTTTAGTAACTTGATATACTCTCGGGACACATGCCTGTCTGGTGATCATTCATCACATCCTCAATATACAATTCTATGAAGAGAGTGACTAATCTCATTCCTCCACACTGCCAGTTGTAATGAGTAATGCCTCACTCTAACCTTAGACTCCATGGAGATGAGTGTCCTCAAATAAACATCTTGTATTAAGTCTTAATGCCTAGGAGTTTCCTTACCCATAGACTATTAATAAAAGGGCCACCGCCATTCAATTTTTATTAGCTATGCTGATATGTAGTAAATGCCATTCCAATTGACAGTCCATTAGAATGGGTTAATGTTAATAAAGGGTCTAGTATTTCCCTAACTGAGGATACATTTGTAACAAGACAGGGCCTCAAGTGGGTCACAAATACTATTCTGCACATGGCTTAAAGATTCTTTAGCACAAGATACTATTGCATACTGAAGAATCCTTTATAAAATAAGAGGATGAGGAAGAGTTGAAACATTAGCAGTAATAATTAGACTCTGTGAGGGGACAGTGGCACAAGTTGGGCACTGGGCAGCCATGTTTAAACTCTAAAAAAAAATTCAAGTTGGGGATTAGGTGAATGTGAAATGGGATCCACCAGGTTTCCCGTAAGCAGAGGCATGGTGCATTGTTTTGTGCAATTTTCTTTATTTGTATTTTTTTATTTTTATTGATTTCCCGAGATATATATTAAAGGGACTCTCCAGCCGATCTGTTTTACTCACCTGGTTCCAGCGCCGGGAGCCTCGTGAAGCCGCGCCCCCTATTTTGTCAAAATGATGAAATAGGCGGGCGCGAGCAGGGAGCAATCCGACACTTCAATTTGGAAGCGTCATTGCTCCCTTGTGCGCATGCCTGGCTTCGCCGCACATACTTCAGAGGGCGGCATTCATGCCTCCTCTGAAGTCCTGACTGCACTACCGCGCATGTGCACGGGTTGCGCGGCCGCGATCTGAGCTGACTGACAGCTCAGCTCGCGGTCTATGCCCGCCCCCCTTCCTCTGCTGACAGGCAGAAGAGAGAAGGCGCGCACACGTCCAACGTATTTTAATATGTCTGACGTGTACAAGGCCTTTTTAGGGCCCTAGATGATAGGAAGTCCCTCTCTATTTCAAGGGAGGTAGAGCTTGAGACCTAAGGAAAGCTACTTATAGGTCAAGCTATTCAAGTCTGTCCATTTTTTGTCTTTTACTTTGGTTTAAAAAAAATATATATCTATCTATATCTCTATCTTAATAATATTTGCTTGAACAATAAAACCACTCATTGATTCACGGAGGGAATCCGTTTGAGAAATAAAGAATATGTGCATGTATGTACCTGTAGTCAGAAAAGGTACAATTTGCCCCAATATTTTTTGTATTGATATTACTTTCTTTAATTTATTTTTTTTTATTTTTTTTGCTTAAAGTTGAAATGCCATTCTAGAAAATTCAGGGCCTATACATCCTGTTACATCTAATGGTTAAATAATACTAACTCCCTTAATGACCACATCTTGATAGTTCAAATTTAGCGACACATAACCACAGCTGCTCCTACAGAGAGAAAGGAGATATTAGCTAATTGCCATAAAAAAATCTCTAGCCTTTCATGAATCAGCCTACGCCTTTTACTGCTTACAGATGCTTTGCATATCAGATAACTGATGCTTTACATTGTAAATAAATGTGTGCTATAAGAGTATGTGAATGTCTCAATATATTTTAGCACTAGACCGCATATTGCAAACATTCCCCTCCTTAAGAAAATGCACTACAATGTCTAATTTAGTCTAACAGAGTATAAACAAAACCAAAATGATGTACCTTGCCACTATGATAATAAAAAGCGGTTCCCTGAAAATCTAGAAATATCTGTGTAAAAATCAGCAGGCCTCGAATGATGGTAGATGAATTACATAACGGATTCCCCTTTTCATTTTTTTTTTTTTTTTAACTTGTTGGTTACCCATCTAGAATCTAAATATTTGTATCTTTTTTTTTTTTGAATGAATGAATACATTATTTACCCCTGGATCAGCATTTTGTTTTAGAGAGACACTGTAGTCACAAAGACCACTTCATCTCAATGAAGTGGTCTGGGCACAGTGTCTTTGTCCTTTTAACCCTGCAATGTAAAACATTGCCTCTGGTGGCTGTTTTCCTGACAACCACTAGAGGCGCTTGTTCACGTAAAGCAGTAGGCCCTATACAAAAGCATACATTTAATGCTTTCCTACGAAGAAATTTGACAGTCCCAATGTTCATCTACAATATCGCGTGAAGCAGAGAAGTGAGCAGCTCCCTCGGTGCTAGAAAAGGTAAGTAAAATCTACTTTCAATTTTTTATTTTTATTTTGATGCACTGGAGAAGGGGTTAAAAAGAGTAGGTACCAGGGACAATATAGTGTTCCTTTTAAGTGCCAGTGTTTTCCTAATATTTAAAAAAAAAAAAAAAAAGTAATCTAGATGTCCTGGTCATGAAATAAGGCTCTTGGTTCAGTAACTGACACTGGACATCCTCACGCTCTGCATGAGGACATCCAGCGTCTGCTATTTCCCCATAGCATGCATTGAAAGCATCAATTTAATGTTTTCCTATGGAGGTAGCCTAATGCGTGTGGGACATTTGCTGCGCATGCGCATTAACGACCCCTTGTTAGTGACATTGGAGGAAACCGAGCAACGACCCAGTGCGAGGGACATTGGCCCCTGGATCAGGTAAGTAAATAAATGGTGATTAACCCTTTATTCACTGGGGTGGAGGAAGAG